TACGAAATGCCAACTTCTTTAAGACGACTATTTACTACACGACTTACGCTTTGCAATCCTAATCATCCAAAACTACTGTGAGATAAATTTAACGCTTATATGATAGATGACTATCTACATGAAAATATACCTACAGAAATCACTAAAAGTACATGCTCTACAAGATATTGGTAGTCTTCTATAATCATTGGGTAAAAACATAAATGATTATGGAATAGTTCCATTCAGTGTCTATATAGATGAGGATGAAAGGTTGAGAAAGAAGAATGGTAATAGAGTAGACGACCAATTTGGATATCAAATGAGACTATGCTTGTGCAGCGAGTTTAAATAACAACAGTTTGCATATGATGCGATTATGGAAAAAGTTAAATCAGAATCAAGTGATGCTTTCTTTATTAATGGTCCACGTAGCATAGGTAAAACTTTTTTATACAAAGCACTTCTTGCTATCGTGAGGTCTCAAAATTTGATTGCTTTAACAGCTGCATCTTCTAGAGTATCTACATCTCTATTACCTGGAGGTCGAACAACTCATTCAAAATTTAAATTTCCTTCAGATACATATGGTGAAGTAAGTTGCTCCATTAGCAAGCAATCAGCTTTAGGAACTTTACTCAGAATGTGTAAGTTAATAATTTGGGATGAGCACCCATGGTAAATCGTTCTTCTGTTGAAGCTGTAGATAAAATATTCAGAGATATTACCTACTGTAATTTGCCTTTCAACAGGAAAGTGGTTGTTCTTGGAGAAGATTTTCGACAAGTTTTACCAATTGTACCGAAAGGAAAAAAAGAAGATATAATGAAAGCTAGCTTAGTCTTCTCTGACCTATGGCCTTTGTTTATACATCTAACATTGAATTAGAACATGAGGGCTAAGTTGGATCTCACATTTTGTGATTATTTACATAGAATTGGAGATGTAATGGAAGAAAAACATACTTGTAACTACATTAAGCTTCCAGAGAGTAACATTCTACCATTTGAGGATGAAATTCAATCTCTAAAAAATTGATAAATCATGTTTTTCCAAATGTTGAAGCATATGCTAATAATTTACATATGATGGCAAATTTGAGTTATTCTTACGTCTACAAATGAATATGTTGATCATATTAATAGAATTTTACTCGAACAAATTTCAGGTCAAATTTTCACATATTTTAGCTTTCGATGAAACAATTGAGAAATCATAACAGAGCTTACAGGAAGATTTTTTGAATAATTTAACCCCAAATGGTACTCCACCTCATGAATTGAATCTTAATGTAAATTGTCATGTAATATTATTGAGAAATATTAATCCTTTTCTGAAGGCTTATGCAATGAGACATGCCTTGTCAAAAATTTGAGAAGAATGTAATTTTTGATGAAATCACAATTAGTGAATATTGTGGAAAATATATTTTCTTACCGAGGATTCCTTTTATACCTCTTAAGATAGATTGAAGCTCAACTTCATTTAAAAGAACTCAATTTTCAATTAGATCATGCTTTGCAATGACAATAAACAAATCACAAGGTTAAACACTTGATTTTGTTGGTTTGTATCTTCCAGAATCCATTTTTTTGTCATGGTCAACTTTATGTAACATTATCAAGAGCTAAAACAAGTACAAATATAAAAGTTTTGGTGAAACTATCAACTATTGAAAACTTACACAGTACATGTACTAAGAATGTTGTCTACAATGAAATCTTTTCTTTCATACATCCGCAGAGCTATAACTTGGCTTTCTTGTCTATTATTGAAAAACTTTATGAATTTATACAATCAAAGTCATTGATAAAGCTATCAAATTTGTATGGAATAACTTACAAACAATTAGAAAAAAAAAAATATGAAAGTTTTATCAGAGAATCTCATGATGTCGGTGAATTATTGTTTTACAAATAGCTTTCTCTTAATCTAATGTTTTATGTATTATTTCATTCCGCTGTACATAATTCTAATGTTCACATAATTTTTTATACAAGTAGTTTGGGATCTTTTCACTTTATATCTTGTTCAAAAAGTGTAGTTCTCAGACATATTATGATTCTTATGAGTTTACTCCCTAGAGAAGAAATTCTTTTTCAAATCTTGTAGTTACTAACATTTCATATGGTACGTATAGTAACCAAATAATTGTTTATATTTTTATCCTTAAATATTCTTGTTCTTTTATTATTATTATTAATTTTTTTCCCAAGTTTACTTTCCTATGTATAATTAGCTTATTCATTTTCTAAATTCTAATTATTCATCTTCACAATTAGTTTTTGAATTTAACAAAAAATATTTCACAAGCACTTCAATGGCGTCTCTGTGGATGAAATTTTTGGATGTTAGTGACACATATTCTTACTTGTGTTCATTTCCACGAATCAAATCTTATTCAAATGTGTTCTACATTTTTTTTATCCAACCTTTTAAATAGTAATACTATTATTTTCTCGTGCCTTAAATTCTGTCAAACCATTCTAATTTCATTCATCATAATACTATGACTCAAAATTCTAAATATCTTTTCTTTCATGATTTATAGTTTTTCCAAATGCAATTCTTCACCAATCAATAGCCAATTCATTACCTGGAGAAAGAGAGTTGAAGATAGTTGGTCGAACATTGAAATGAATAGTTCCAAGGTACAATTTACCATATTAAGTGACATCAAAAGAATATGATGCGAATTTCTACCCCAATCAAACAAAAGAATATTATAAATTTTTATTACTAATTTGATTTCCTTTATTTTTTTTATCCCTACAAATTGGCATAAACACATTTCACCCTTCCTTTACCTCTTTTTTGCTGCTTCTTTATAGTTTGTTCTCGGCTCTTTTTCCTTTCAGTGAAATGATTTTAAAAATCCTTTAATCCATCTGAGATTTAACTTACCATATTTGACCAATTCGTTTCCAATTTATTTTTATCATAGATGGCCCCGGTTATTGCAAAAATGGGTGGAGCAAGTATTCCTCTCCATCTGGACAATCATCCACATTTTCGGTGAGTTTCTATTTGTTGTTAGTAATGTTATAATTTCTAAATTCATTGTTTACGAGTTGTTTTGTCCTTTGATCAATACCAAAAAATCTTCAACTTTTAATTCATTGTTAAGTTCTTTCAAAATACGGGAATTTGGAAACATTGTTTTTGATGACTTCTCCACTTGGACATTTCTTTTCAACAATTTGCATCAATTTTATCTAAGAGCCAATCCTAAATTGGGGAGAAAGTTTTGAAAATGCTGTTGACAAAGTTTGATTTCCAACCATGTGTGAAATAATTTCTCTAATTTAGTTTGGTGAGACCTCGAGGTACTCTCATGTGATGTAGTGGATAGGAAATGTAGTTTTGCTAGAGAACTTTGTCTTCCTTAGTTCATTGTGAGGATTTTCATGCTAAAGTTCCATTTATTTTTTTATTTTTATTTTTTTTACAATTGCACAAGACAAAATGTACTTTACGATAATCCAACACATTTAACACGCTAACATTACCTTCAAAATAATCAAATCCTTGCATTGCACGGACAAAGACTAGTAAATAAATAAAAGAGGCAAGAATGAAAATATTTTAATTCAATACCATTGCCGTTGCCATCCCTCTTCAGTCTCTAGACATGCCACAATTTTTTATGGGTAATTATCAAAATACCCCCATAACCTTTGTCTATTTTGTTGAATACCTTGTGATATTTCTTTTTAATGCAAAATCCTTCTAAATCACTCAAACATTACGAAAAATTCCATCTCGTCTATTACTTTCTCCATTAAAAGGGATTTTGGAAGCCAAAACTAATACAAACATCAAGGACTGTCTCATAATCTCTATGCTCAGAGGTTATCAGAAGCAATAATTTCTTAAGTGGGTTTCATTTTGGGATATGAAAATGAAAGAAAAATGAAGCTAATTTATACAAATATCTGCTTGCAATACTGGGACTGAATACGATTTCAGATGGAGAAATTGCTTCCTTTTTTCCTTTCTTCCTTTCTTTCGTTAATTATTTATTTTATTTTTTTCCCCCCATTTCAAAGGTATAAGTTCGTTTCTTGTAAAGCTTAATGACAGTGAAATTGGGTTTGAAATTTGTGTGATTTCAAATTGGGGCTGCATCATGATTTCATTTCTCCATTTTCAATCTGGTTTGGTTGTTGGTTTGAAATTGGAATGTTTATCTGTATTGAAGAAGAAGAATTGTTCAAATGTTCACGTGCAAATCAACCCTGGTAAATGTTGCAGAATATAACCCTAAAATTGGAAAACTTAGCGAAATACAACCCTAAAATAGATAAACTTTGTGCAAATTAACTCTAAGTCCCCAAGGGAAAAAATAAATAAAAAGTTGGGCTTGAGCTAAAAAACACAAAAATGAAATTTTTGGCTCAATTAATTAGTTGACAATTTTATTTAGAAAAAATTAAAATAATTTGACTTATTTAATATAAAAAAATTTCGAAAGATTTAACTCGTATTCGATTCTTCAATTTTTGGTTTAGAACCAAGAACCAAACCAAATTCGCCTATTCTCGATTTTAAAGCTCATAGGAGTATTCAACTTAAGAATAACCAAAATAAACTGCTCTATTTAATTCAATCCAATCCAGCTCGATTCGAATGATTTGTTCAGCCCTAATAACAAGTCAATTACCCTTTTTTTATTTGCTAAAATAAAATTACAAAATAATAACTTGTTTGGGCCCAGTGCCACCAAAAATAACGCCTGCTTTGAGGCATTGGGAGGCCCATTTACAGCTTTATTTTTCTCCAAAATGTCTCTTGAAATAGTGTTATGATAGAGAATGCGTTGTTAAAAAATAAAGAAAATTTTTGAATTTACGCCTAATATTATTCTATTGAAAAAAGTGCGATTGAAATGATATCAAATCACTGTCGAAAAATGTATTTTGATAAAAAAAAAAAAAAAAATGGACCTCAAACAAGGGCCGAATCTAGTGCCCATCCAATTTGAGCCTATTACAAGTTCAGGAATAATAAGTAGTGCGAAGTTGCAAATTGATGGAGACATTATCAAATTATCATAAACAATTTCTTAATGTTATAGTAGTACAATATAGTATTTTCCAATTCATTTCACTAAATATGTCATTGCTGTTCTATCAAAGTTCTTAAAGATTGATGGCTGAAATTTGCTCCCAGTGATTTCCCGATCTTATCTAATTCACACTTCTCAACCAAAGTCGATTCAATTCAATTTTGAGTAAAATTTCCCAACAAAAGAAAAACACTCTTTAAAGAACAACCAAAACCCAGTGGCATCACCATTAGCTGTTATCGAAGCAAATATACACCTTTGATGCAGGATCTTTTAAAACTTGGCTCAATTTGTCCAAATAACATATAGGTGCCTCTGGGGACAGGGTTGAAATGAAAATTGGTCCATAAACCCTCTCTTTTCAAATTTTCAATACGTAGTTTTCATATGACCAGATCAGAGCAACCACTTCAAACCTGCCTGTCAAAATATCCACTGCAGTACAGTTAAATTTGTCACTCTTTTGCTAATATTAAGAATGTTGGTGCATTAATAACTACAAATTGCCAAATGCAACAATTATTCCAAGAATTTCACAGCCATAAGAAACCAAGCCTTCAAGAATGAGCAAATAAATTGTCAGCAAGTTATCAAATAGGAACTCATTCAAGAAACCATTAACAATCCAAGCATTGATAAACGAACTCTTTCCATTATTCCGTATATCTTATACCTCGAAAACAGACGGATTAGTTGGTGTTAGTGTCTAATTGAAGGTATATAAAGCACTTAAAACTTGCCTAATACCACAAAAAGGAATTACATAATGTTTACCTCGTCAAAACTGAGACATTTACGGAAGTTTGGGCTCTATCTCAGGTAAGTAGAAGCAACCCAAAGGAAAATGTAGCTTATCAATGAAGTTGTCACTTCCAAACTTCTTGGCCCTTTGAGTATGGGTGGCATCACAGAGACCATTAAAAATGTTCCTAGAAGCCAGGAGATAACAAAAGTCCCAGCCCTGAAAAACAGTGAAAGTCAGCAATGATTTAAGCAAGATAGTACAGGACACATAATAGTACATAATATGATGGGAAATTATTTTTAAAGAACCATAGTCTAGGTCAAATTGAAAAACAGCCTAAAGACAATGTTTTACATATAAAAGGCATTCTTTTGTCGTAAAGATTCAGCTAAAGCCATGTTAAAAAGGGTCTTCACCACCACTTCCTCTTCTTGCTCGAAAGTAGAAACCCTGGGAGCACCTCAGAAGCCCGTAAGTTATTCAGAAGCCCCTTAAAAAATGAAACTGTGGGGTGGGGTTGCAGCTGGGAGAGGTGGAAGGTTTAATGAAGAAATAATTCTAATAGTTATGGGTGGCTAGAGTTCATTATTTGTGGAGCAAACCTAGATAATTAGTCACATTTGACGAGCATCAGAATTTTGAAAAAAACCAAAAAATGAAGAGGAATAAAAAGAAAGCATCTTTCATCCTCAAATTATTCCAATCTCTGTTCCTGCCCCTGTACGAACCAAATGGTATGCATGCAAGTCGCACCACCGCTCCAGTTATTCAAGAAGCAATGCAGTAAGCAAATCAACAAGCAATTCTATTTCAGCAAGCATTTCAAATTCGTCCATCATTCATGGGAATGTTGGTGTTTCATCTGTGCACATGACACATGTAAAAGGAAAGAGAAAGAAGAGAGAACAGAGATGAAAATTTGGTTCAGGAAGTGAAATCAAATCTTTCAATGTGCACCTACATTTGAAGACAATGGTATGGGTACTAAAGATTGCTCCTACTCCTTCAGGTTTAACTAGAGGCATCCAATCGGCCTATATCTAACCTATATTCTATATGAGGATCGTCCAAGGGTGCTTGGAGGACAATTAATGGAGAACAAAGAGTCCACTCAAAATGCCTTGTCAGTTGGATCTAATAAAAATCTGATTATCAGTTTTGGCCTCAAGACTAAATCAGACACGAAATGCATCTGAAGTTGCTTATATGGCTACTCAAAGAGGCAACCTGCAAGATCAGTATCACATAGATCCTAAACTCCTAAATCCTCTCATTCTGTGTGCGCGTAAGGAGAAAGAGAGATAATAAACTCAGACAGGAGATGTTAGAGGGCTTAACAAGCTACGTAGGTTTAAGGAAGAAGAAGATATTATGGGTAAGGTTAGCTACAGTTCATGACTTTGATAATGAAAAGTGTACAAGTCCGACCACAAGCTGAAGGTCGAAGAGTTATACACGTTTGACCCCATGTAAGGGATACTGAGAACAGGCAATCTAGACGCTTTGAATGTTCGGAATGAATACTGGCATTCAAAAGGCTGTAACAATAGTACAATTAAGCAGAAGTTACGAAGGCATAGATTGATGAACTCCCCCAAATGTAGTCAGGTTCATCCGGCACAAGCAAGTGTAACAGAAATAACAAGAATAGTGGACGGGCTCCAACAAAAAGGAAAAGACTAGAACAAGTGCCAGTAGCAGAAATACAACAAGTGGCCACTCTACCCAAAGTGCCAAAAAAATATAAAGGAGAGTGATTGATTGGAAAGAACAACTATCATAAATGTGACAGGCAAGGAATGCTAGGACGAACCACCTAAGAAAAAACGATTGCTGAAAGGCAAAGTTATGGTATATTCTTTAACCAACTGGAGGTGGAGCAGGATCTGAACATGTTAGCAGGTGTCATAAGAGTCCTGACTCGACTCCTTTCTTATTAATGGAATATAGAGATGCATATTCTTTTACTTCATTTATTTTAAAGTCAGATATGGAATGTTTACTGATTGACAATATAAGTATTTTCTTTCATATCAGCGAAGATACTTAGTGCGACCAAATAGCCAATGACAATAAGTTAAAAATTGGATCATGTAAACAGACTTAGTCCAGTCAGATATGAAGGACTTCGACATCATATGCAGAATGGACTGGTTGTCAAAAGAACTCCCTATGTGTTCGTCAAGAAACATCATATCAGAATGGACTGGTTGTCAAAGATAAAAAAAGAACTCCCCATGTGTGCATCAAGAAACAGCTTAAAAACATATTTTCTTTATTTTTCTTAAAATAAATTAGATTATGCTAAAATCAAAACCAATTATCAAATCATCTTATTTAATAACTAAATATAATTAAACATAAAAAGTGTTTCAGATGAAGCAAAATTATAGTATTAATATATGTTTGAAACTAATTAGGAATGGAACAGGAATTAAAAGTCGCCATTCTTAACAGTTTCAATCTCTATTCATGCCCATCTGAACCGAATGGTATGCGCATTGGCACCACTACTCCGGATGTTCAAGCGGCAATGCAGTTTGTATATAAAAAAGCAATACTATTTTCATAAGTGTTTTAAATCAATCCATCATTGCAGGAATGAGGAATCTATGAAGAGTATTAATATTCGTTGGTGTTTATGCAACAAGACATGAAGGAAATGAATAGAGGAAGAAAAGAAAATGGAGATGAGATTTGAATTGAGAGAGTTAATCAAATCTCTCGACTTGCACCTACATTTGTAAATAACAGCATTGATGGTATATTGCTCTCCTCCCTAAGATCAACTTCAGGCATCCAATTGACCTATTTCTAATGACATGCATAATTGTTGTGTATAATTCTGGATGAGGATTGTCCAAGGCTGCTTGGAGGGCAGTTGATTGAAACAAAGACTCCAGTCAAAATGCCTTGGCAGTCGGATCCAAATATCTGATTACTAGAGTTGGCCTCCTAAGCCAGATACAGAAGTATGTCAAGTTGTTCATAAAGCTACTCAAAGAGACACTCTGCAAGATCAATATCATAAAAATCCCAAATTGTGTGCATGTGTAAAAACAGGAGAGAGAATAAACTGCAGCTGGGAGAGATTCGAGTGCTTGGAAAGCTACAGGGTTTAAAGGAAGAATAAGATTAAAGGTGTACAGGCAGCTACAGTTCATAATTTTGATATTGAATAGTGTTCAACTCCAAGTACATGCTGAAGTTCAAAGTATCGTCCATGTCTGCTCCACGTCTAGTGGATGCTGATTACTGGAGCAAGATGCTTTGAGCATGAACAGAAAACTGACATTCTAAAGGTCGTCGCAATAGTACAATAAGGCACATACCGCTAGGTTTTGGAGAAAGCTCAAGTAGTCACCTCAACAAACATCAAATTGACGAAGTCCCCAAACAGCAGCGACAATTATCTGCCTAACACAAGTGGAATGGATCTAACAAGAAGAATGGTACAGCTCCAACAAAATTGAAAAGCCTAGAACAAGTGCCAGTACTAGTGCTACAAATAAGTGGCCACTCTTCCCAAAGTGCCAAAAACATCATGAAGGAGAGAAATTGTTCGGAATGAAAGTCTACCATAAATGTGACAGGTGAGGACACTTCTCCAATGAATGCTGAGAGGGACAACCTAAGAAAGCTAATAGTCTGATGAAAGGCAAGGCCGAGGTTTTTCCTTTAATGCAGCTTCAGGATCCAAGTGTGTTAACTGTTAAGCAGGTATTATACCAGTCTCTGCACCTCCTTTCGTATGCAAAAGGATTATGGAGATACACATTCTTCTCTCTCCTGCATTCATTTTAAAGTCAAATGTAGATTGTCCCATCGACAATATTTTACAAGTTACTCTCATATCTACGAAGATACTTAGTGCTGATCAGATAGCCAAGGACAATAAGTTAGCAACTCATGGGTTGGATAATCAAAGCAGACTTAGTCCTGTTATATATGAAGGACTTCATACTCAGAATGGATTGATTGTCTAAGATCAGAAATAACTCCCCCACGTGCACCAAGAAATGAATGAACTTTTCTCTCTCCTTCTTCCCTTATCTCTCTCTCTCCGAAAATGGGCTAACCCTAGCCCCATGACCAATCCACCCCCAAATGACCCTTCCCCACGCCCCGCCCTTACTGTCCCCGGCATTGTAACTCCCCTGGCAACTGGCCTGCAAGAACCCGGCCTCCTGCCGACTCCAGCAGCCGCTTGCACGATAGCTCGAAGTCACAACCCTAGCACTGTCACACCTCTCTGTTCAAAGCAAAGAATAATTCATCTCATTAAATAATTAAATATAACTAAACTAAAAAAAATGTTTTTCTAATGAAGCAAAATTAGAGAATGGACATGTTTGAAACTAACTAGGAAAGGAATGGGAGTAGAAAGCATTCCTTGCTTCAACCTGTTTCAATCTTTATTTGTGCCCGCCTGAACCGAAAGGTATGAGTGCAAATCAAACCACGACTCTGGTTATTCAAGATGCAATGCATTAAGCATATTAACTAGCAATTCTATTTTCAAAAAGCATTTTAAATCAATCCATCATCGGAGGGAATCTAAATGGAGAAATGTTAGTGTTTGTGTGTGAGTGTGACATGCAAAAGGAATAGAGGAAGAAGAGAGAGCGATGAAATCAAATTTTCAACATGCACCTACATTGAAAATAACGGCATGGGTAGTAACAAAATCCTACCCCTTCCTCAGGTTTAAATAGAGCCATCCAATAGACCTATATCTAATGACATGCATAAAGGTAGTGTAATTATATACGAGGATTGTTCAAAGTCTCTTGGAGGAAAATAAATTGAAAACAATAGTCCACTCAAAATGCCTTGGCATCAGGCCTAAAAATCTGAAAACTAGAGTTGGCCTCTTAACTAAGCCAGATATAGAAGTGTATAAAGCTGATAATACAGCTACTCGATAAAGGTAATCTGTGAGATCAATATTCATTAAAATCCCAAAATTTTAAGCTGTGGGAGTGTATGTGTAAGAGAAAGAAAAAGAGAATGAACTGTGGCTGAAAGAAATGTGAGGTTTAATGGAAGAAGAAGATTCTAGGGTAAGGGTGGATACCTAGTAACGAGTAGAGCAGAAGGTTGAAGAATTATTCAGGTTTTCTCCACATCTAGTGGTTATTGATAAGCGAGTCAGACTTTGAGTATCAATTGAAGAATGATATTCAAAAGGGCATCACAATAGTACAATTAGGCACATAACACGAGGTTTTAGAGAAGGCTCAAGTGGTCGCCTTTGACAAGCATCAGATCAACAAAGTCCCCAAACGTTAGGAAGGCTCGTCTGACAAACACAAGTAGAATAATCTAACAAGGATCAGGAAAAGTGCCAGCCATGCAATACGAATAAGTGCCACTCTGCCCAAAGGAGGACTGGATAAGAAAAGCATGGAGTCGGGTGGAGAAGAACAAACAGTGTGTAATAAGGAGTAAGGTCAAATTGAGATTTTGACAAATTCGCTTATGTAATTTTAAAAAATGAAGCCCTAGTTTCATTTTATCCCTCCAACTTGATCCTGCCCTAAACAGCAACCTCTTATTTATATGCTCTAGATAAAAAGGACATGGTAACTGAAAATTAGAGCTAGACACTATGACTATGGACATGGTGTAAAAATAAATTCTTATAAAATGTCAATCTAGGAATCCATTGGTCTAAAACACAATACCTTCATATAGCAATATAAAGAGCTTACCCATAAAGAAAACCACGGAGTTTGCTCTTCAGCCGATCATAGACGAAATACATGGTAAGTAATAAAGAAATGGCAACTTGAAGGGTAGGCCCTTCTTCAGTTGGAAAGAGTACTGTGAGCACTCCGAGCACCATAAATGCAATGGTAGTTTTTAGAATGACATTCAATGATGGAGTTCTGAACCTGCTCACAACAGCCTGCACAACGCGTGACTGTGTTACTTCCCTGACCTTTTTCTTGATGTTGATTTTAGGGTTCTTCCTTTCATAGAACTTTTGCATTATTATTTTATCATGTGCTGATTCAATAGCTTCCACACTTGGTTTATGCCTTCCATATGTTAGTATTAGAAAATTCCTGGCAGCTTGAATTTCATCTTCAGAAGCTTCCCTACTAATTCCAAGTCGCTTATATGGGTCCCTTACGTTGATTCTTGGAAATGTTGTGGTACCTGGGAAAAAGTAAAAAGATAAAAGTTCCAAAAATTTCAGATAGCTAATTTACAGAAGTTATTGTCAGAGATCAACAACAAGAAGACAGAACATTAAGAATGTTAAGCGTGGCAAGTGTAAGCAATCAAAGTTTATCTACAACAAAAATTAATGGTACTGTTGGTAAAATTACAAGGTAAGTATCAATAATGATATAACCACTATGTATGTTAGGCGTGGGAGTTCTACAACACCCCACATGACAAGAAATAAAGGCTCTACTCATCCAATAAAAGTGAGTCAAAAAGCCGACAATAATTTCTGGATGCACATTTTTAGAAATAAGTAACACAAGACACATGATCATTAATGACTTAATCAAGTATGAGTCTCTGGTCCCGAACCCGTGAGAAAAATCAAGAAGTTTGAGCCAACAGGAAAGTGTTATTTTTGCTGTTAAGCATTTATCACAGACCTTGAAAAGTAAACCCAATAGATGACTATAGGAACAAATTGAAGACTGGAGTTCATCTTGATTCAATAATAAAATAAATTTCAATAAGTGGGTTTGATTTTCCCAACATGCCAACAAAAAGAATAATCGTCATTCATTCATCATCTCAAGCACACAACTACAACGGTCACAGTGATTCCCACCAGTGTCATTTCCTTGGGTGTGAAAATCCACCAGACACTAAATGACAGAATCAACAATCATTCATTACCATCAAAGATTAATAATTTAACTACACATCTTCAATCAAACAAAATTCTGAAGTAACTAAGAAATGCACAAAGTTTACCAGCTGACTCATTTGTAGAATCACCATAGGATGCATCCATTGCGCATTTGAGCAAAGGAGTTCTTCGTATACGTTGCTGAGTCGATCCAGTCCAACTATTTTTATGAAAATCAAGAAAAGAAATAAAGTTTGATACCTGTAATACATGCAACTACATAACACGCAAGATATAAGATGTACCCATATAAATAGAGAAAATCCTTAGATCTCATAATATTAGGAAATGAAGTAACTCGGTCATTGCTAAACCCAACATCTCTTGCAGGAAAGTGAAGGCTATATCTCAAGGGGCTACAAGTTAATCCAGATGATGACATTGTTAAGTCTCCAGGTAACTGATCAACCTCAACACCCTGCAACTTGACTTGGTGAGAACAGGTCAAAAGCTGCAATAATGAGGGAGAAAAAAAATTAAGCATGGATGAAAACTAACAAAGCATGTCCAGAGACTCATACAACATAGGAAGTCCACTTCAACATAACCGAGAAACTTCCCTCGATCTGATCATTATTTTTCAAAACCATGTTATACATGAATGTACCACCAATGAGATAATGAACAGACCAAAAAGAAGCAAATAAAAATGAGAGGAGAATGAAACAAAATAAGGCACTCAAAACAGTGCATGAACAGTGAAACGAGAAGACGGCATTTTATGCTTCAGAAACTGAGGCAAAAGCCACAATATGTGAATACCTTCACTTAATCATTTTCTAAATATGTAATTTAAAATGGTTTAAAGCATTGTTTTAAAAAGTGTAATGCGTGGCAAAGTGGGGAGGCCAAGTTCAACCTATGCGTAAAAAAGAATTTTAATATTTTAATATTATTTTAAATTTTTAAATCAATCTAAAGCTTATTTAATAATTAAAGAAAAAAAGCATAAAAAAGTTAGTGCGGTTTTCATCTTTCTCAGTAATTAAATGGGTGGAAACAACAAAAAAAAGCAAGAGGCAAAGCATTCTACGCCCACTTCGCGCCTAGACGCCGCTTTTTAGAACACTAGTTAAAAGTGGTAGAAAAGTTAAATATTTAATAATAAATACATAATTCATCATCCAGTTAGAAAAGCAATAAACGAAATATAAACGATGTAGAAACTTGAGAAACCATATATGAACTTCTAAAAAACAAAACAGCTTATATGACTCCTAAATATTGATGTGGAGTGTTAGCCCCTGTTTCTCTCCCATTCTTTCAAAACTCTATTTTCTACACTCATTTTCAACCACACATTCCCATATAAAATATTCTACAAATAAATTTAAACTTTTTCCTACTTTTTAACTACACATTCTCTAAAAATTCACTATTTAAAACAATGTTTTTCCAAAAAAATGGTCACCAAACAGGGGCTTAATAAACTTACAAATTGAAAAAGTACGTAAAAGAGAAAATAAAAATTATAATGCACAAATAAGGAAGTATTTTCTCAAATTTCATGTTTATATTTTACATGTGTACTTATTCTTTTTACTTCAAAGGCCTAAACCTCAATGAGGATGAAATGCCTTGAAAAGATAGAATCTTAACTTTATTGGAAAATCACCCATCTGATCAAAACATGTGGGCAAAAAATTCATCCACTTCCCTTGAGATGTGGAAAGTTGTTGATGAGGTTGTGGTTCTCTAAATCTCTGGAGAACCCCAATTAGCACTCCTTTCAGTTTAACCCTCCTAACTATTCCTGACTGAGGGCTTATATCGTAGTTATCAAGCCCAAAGAACTATCACTACTCCTTCACCTGTCTAACAGTCCTATATTTCTTCTCTTAAAAGAATCCCCACCAGTTCTTCCCACATACATTATGAAACATATACAGGAAACTACACCAACCCTTCGCACATGAGGTTGTCTCATCTGCACCCCCAACCCAAACATGAAACTAAACAATCCTGAGGAGGAAAAATGTTAAAAAAAAAAGGCTCCCTGACAGCTCTTCCTCAAAATGAGGATACAAGTAAATTTGAATTGTTTCATTCTCAATAAGTTAGAATTAGAGCACAAAAAAGAGAACATAAACCCATTGTCCAATAACCCTTTTATTCAACCATATTATTTTCATTCATTTTTCTTGTTGTTTCCATCCATTCAATTACTGAGAAATATTAAAAACCACACTAACTTATGCTACCGGCACATCAAGTGTAAAGCTTCAAAATTGTGTGCATTTCTTCCCAATATTCTTAACAGACTAAAGCCGTTTTTTCAACATCTACCATCGAACATATAATCTACTGCTGAGCTTCTGTTAGCCACTAATTAGAAAATTATTGTACTGCAAAAATCAAGAAAATGAGTAAGGCGAGAGCGTACCCTATGGTGGAAGAAAAAAATTCAACACTCTTCTTGAGAAATGAAAACTCTACGAGCACAGGTCAAATATCGGAGGGAGAGTAACTCTCCAAACCTTTTTTTTGTTTGAATCGTGCTAGGCAATAGTTAATTGTTCCAATGTAGACTAAACTTTATATCAATGTGTACGATTGTTCACTAGTTTACAACCCGTTCGCCCCCACTATTTAAATTTATAATGAAGGAATAATATTTTTTTTGAAGATTGTGTGGTTAAAAATTAGAAGAGAAAAAATTAAATTAAATTAAAGAGTTTTAAACGAGGGCTTAGATTCATGTCTTAAATTGATCGTTGAAATTTAAAATGTCGAGTTTTGACCACTGAACTTTGAAATATGCCGTACGTTATTCACTAGTATGACTATTAAACTTTAAAAAATATTAAGCACATGTTTGAGCCACATTATAGGAAAAAAATGTATTATTTATATCAAATCAATGAAAAATATGTGGTTAAACAATAAGGAAAGGTTTTAGATTTACGTGTAATATTATTTTATTGAAGAATGTGTTGTTGAAATGATGTCAAATCACTGTTAAAGAATATTTTTTTTTTTTAAATTAATGTGGTTCAAACAAGCCCTAAATTTACATTGGGTAAAGTACAGCATTTTTCAAAGTTCAGCGAGTAATGTATAATATTTTTCAAAGTTCAATGATTAATATATAACATTTTTCAATGTTCGGTGTTCAAAACTCGATATTTTCAACTTCAATAAGTAATCGAAGATATAAACTTAAGTTCAGTGACCAAAACTCAACATTTCTAATTTCAGTGACCAATCAAAGACATGGACTAGTTCAGTAACCATTGAAACAATTAACTTGCTATGCAACTATCATTTAATGTCCCATTACTTATAAACTGGAATTGTAATTTCAAGTGGGGGTTAAATAGTATTAAACTGGAATTGTAATTTCAAGTGGGGGGTTAAATGGTATTATTCTTTTTGTTTCATCTGAAATATTTTCATATGTGAAAAAACTCAGATAATCACTTGATTTTGAGCCTTGTTTTAATTTAGCATTTGTTTGGTGGCCATTTTTTGGGAAAAACATTATTTTGAATAGTGAAATTTTAGAGAATGTGTGGTTAAAAAGTAGGAAAAAATTTTGAGTTTATATATAAAATATTTTATCATATAAATGTGTGGTTGAAAATGAGTATATAAAAAAAAAGAGTTTAAAAGAATGAGAAATAAACAGGGACTTAGTTGTGTATCTTTAATTTATTTCAGAGAGGTCACATAGCTTTCTATTCAGTTTCATTCGTTTGTCTCCATCGATAAATTTAATGGAAATTAGTGATGGAGATAAGTAAAATGACTATCTTATACCGAAACAATATGTTCCATTTTGAAATTAGTAAAAAATGTAAGGGATTAAATTGGAAAGGAAAAACTAGAAGTTTAGTGGTAGCGGTATGACGTTTTTAATATTGATTTTATATATAGAATTTGAAGGAATGTTAACTAGTATATTATATGAGAACGGTCATGTTTTGACGGTGTTAGATGTTACTCTGCCAAGAGCTGCTAATACGGCATCGTTCGAATATGTCAAGAATCATATGAAGATTTTGAATGGCCAATAGAGATTTCGTCACTCTTAGATAATAAGAGATTATGATATGCATTTCATTTAATTAAGTCGATAACGAAATTCATGGCCAAGGTATACTCATAAGTCGAAAAAAAGTTTTCGACTTATATTGACTTAATAATGGAGTGAAAAATATGATCGATAATCGAGATTAATACACTTTCATATCTCGTAATTGATTGGATCATATTGACGGAGGAATCATAGTTTCACGGTAGACAAACGAGTTTGGCTTTGTCATACCACGTGACATTTACCGTCACACGTATTGCTCTGACACATTGCTAGATGTCAATCTAGGATGGCGAGTGTGAATTGATGATAAATTAAAAGGGTGTTTTAATTTATCAATTTTGATTAGAATAAAATAATATTTCACGTCATTAGATATCGTGATTGAGAACCTGATGGGTCACACACAAAAGGAGAACTGAAAGATTGTGATTTGTCGATTAATTAATTTAAGAAGCTTTGGATAAATTAATTAATAGAATTAGGCCTAAATTGATTAATTGGATTAATTAATTTATGGACCGAATTTAATTAAATAGATTAATTAAATATTGGACGGGGTCAGGTCAAGCCCGTTCCAGCTTATATAAATATGACTAGAATTTTCAATATCCGTAGAAATTCATTATTCTTGCTAGCACAAGAAGAAAATCATAATCCTACAATCTTGTTCTCTGTGTGGATCACCGTTGGAGGTTGGACAATTAGACACTATGGGTGGCGAGTCAAGATCGTTGGAACGAAAAAATAGTAAAGGAGTTTGCAGATCTCGTAAAAGGTATAATTCCTATCACAATTTCTATTTAAACACGGATGAATCCTTAGTGGGAATTGAAAAATTGTTTTATTTTTTGCTGCGCATGATAAGTAGATTTCCAACACCAACTTACCAGAAAATTATGTAGAATATAGGTTGCATGGCAAATTGGCGACACCCAAATATCAAGCTAGGGAACTAACTTGTTTATATCAAGATAAATTCTAAATTTAAATCTCGCTAACATTTATTTATAAAAATCATTACATGAGAACTAAGCCCCCGTTTGATCCCCATTAAATTCAATTACATTACATTTCATTTTTCTCTCTCCTATTTTCAACTACACAATCTTTCATAAAATAATATTACACGTAAATCGAAAAATTTTCCTTCTTTTTCAACCACTCATTATTCTAAAAAAATACTATTCCTCTCATTTTCATTTTCAGGTAATGGGGGTCAAATGGGAGCTAAATGCAAATCATACATATAGGTAGTGTGCAAGTGCATGCACCTAGCACCTAAAGATGGGGGGGGCGGGGGGGGAATCTGCTTGAAACAAGTGAATTTCTAGTAAAAGTTTGATTTTTGAAATATTGTAACTTTTTACTTTTTTTTCTGTTTAAAAAACGACAAATCCAATTTCACATTCTAGGATCACTAATTAAGTCAAATAAATATCCCATTTTTTATTCCAGTTTCAAAATAATTTCCAATAGTTGGATTCCCACCTTTAACAACGGCTATTAGATGGATTGGGATCTAAGTTGCACGCGTGTGGACATGACACTACCGAAACATATTGGCATGTAATTTTTCGAAGAGTAAGACAACATGTTGAGGACAGGTCAATTAAGGTTTCTTCTCCATCCCGCGCACTTAAATTTTATGTTTAGCTTAGGGTTTGAGTGATTAATCGACCACATTTCTGGGTGTCGTTGTACTCCCTCGAATTTCATCTCCTCTCAGGCACTTTTTTCCTAATGTCCTAAACCTAGGAATCTCCTAAGATTACTATGTATTTTCAAATTTTTTTTTTTTAATTTTATTGTTTTTTCTTCTCTTTTTTCTTATGGATTTATCCTTTTTTTTTCGAACTGCATTTCTAAGCGTGTCTGACGCATGGTCATATTGGTATTGAATTTAAAAATTAAACTCTATGAATCTTTAGAACTTTATTGACAAAATCTTTATATCAAATTACCAGGAGAATTATAAGTACGAAATATACTTTGATCCATTGTTTTGAATCTTGAAGAACAATTGTAATTGCCTGATTTTGACTTCTTGTTCTTTAATCTTGGTTGTTCAAATCTTTCTTCTTGATCTTTATCACTTCTACTTGATTCTTGATTTCATGTTCTTGATTTGGATCTCTCTTCAATATCCTTTCTCTTATTATTCTTGCGTTGATGAGATGATTAAAAAAATGAGAATCACATATGAGTTGGAGATCATAATCATGTGTGTGTGTGCGCATGTGTGAGTATTTCGTTCTTTCATGAAATACAACTTCAACGACTTAAGATTTTATTTAATAAAATTATTTTTTCTATATACTTTATAATATAATTTTGGAAGTTTAAATAGGTTTTAATTTCTTTATTTTGTGTCAAATAATTATATTTTGATAGAGTGGGTTTTTGTATATCAATATTAGGCTCATTACGTAGATCATATTACATGACGCATTATAGATGTGAGAAAAAAGTTAATCAGGATAATTTAAGCCCAAGTTATTGAAGTTTAAAAAAAAATGTTATCTTTAATTTGAAATTAATTAAGTGGTTTATGACTTAATTTTTATGGCAGCCATGTGTATACAGGATAAATATCGATTTTGATAAGTTAATCTCCTATTTTAATTTTGATAAAGGTTAATATTAATCATATTTTGATTTTGATAAAATTTAATTATAATATAATTTGACTAAAAGTCCGTTACTTCAAATTCTAACACAATTAGATTAAGTCAAATGGAATCAATTTTCAGATTAACTTTCACATGTTCCATTTTGATATAAATACAATTAGATGATTAGGATTGGTTGATTATTTTAATTAGGAAAACCATTAATATGATATAATCGTAATTCTATTATTTAAAACCATTTTTTTTTCCAAATTCCTTGTATTATAAAGTTTTTCAATTGAGTTTTCAACTATAAATATTATAAAAATTCTCATTATTTCACCATAGAAAATAAAGAGAGCCGTGGTAGAGAAAGATAGAAGAAAAAGAAAAAAAGAGTACAGAAAAATAATAAAAGAATTTTTACGTGCAAGATTGTATTCCTTTTAACCTTTCAAAATCAAGGTAAAATACTTTTGTGTTAGTGATTTGTTTCTGTATATTTTTATACTTAGTATCTTATGCATGAATTGTCAGTGGACCTTATGGTTCGACATAATGAAATATGAACTCTATTGAGTTCCTTATAACGAAATATGAAATCCTTTGAGAATTCAAAGTTATACTGATTAGTATCTCTCTTGGTCATCAATATACTCTATAAGAAATGTGATATGAAGTGTTTATTTTATTGTTATATAATTGTCTATGCAAATTGCACAAATCTTATTGGGTATATTTTAAATACTCTCTCTTACAAGAAATTTTTTTAGGATAATTCGAGTTTATTGAAACTGTGACGGGATGGTGGTGCGGACTAACAAGAGGATTTGAAGAAGTAAAATTATTAGGTTTCTAT